AGAAAGAGCTCTGAAGTTTGCAACTTTTCCCGGGAATCTCTTTTCCCTCCTTGTATGGAGCTAAGACTTTTCTTCTGTATTGTGTGATCATTAAATGCCGAGGCTGACCAGCAGACCCTGAGCGACAGATGAATAGATTACTCCAACATAACATTTGCTGTGAAAGAGAGGGCTAAGGGACTGCCTGTCTAAAGGAACCAGACAACCTCGATTGCCTGCCTCATTAGGCTTTTATTGTAGCAGCAGTTTGAGATAAAGTTTATCTTTTAGATGCAATTAGTAGGATAAGTAATATTGGAAGGACACATGTGTTTGCGGTGTCCTTTAAGCAAGGACACCCAAAGATTAAGCATAAGAATTCCAGTAAACACCTGGGGTTCTGCACGTGCACAGGCTTGTGTGGAAAGGTCAAGGGATAATTGGGGGCACCATCTTTGGCACTCCCCTAAGTTGGAATTCTGATAAACAGGGTGGGCGGCCTTCCACACACTTCCCTTTTCTCGGAAAGTTTGTCCTCCTTACAAACTTTCCAACCAAGTCTCGTGTGCTCCCCAACAGTTAAAACCCACTAATTTTCAGCTCTCTTTGATTTTTTAACCCTCTTGCTTTTTTCTGAACTTAGCTATTTATTTAGAAGGTTATGTTTTATTTATTTAACATTTCTAAATATCTTTTAAGGGAGATTTTTATGTCTCTTAAGGCCACCATGTCCTCAGAAGCCCAAGTTTCCAGTTACTTTAATTCATACAGTATTATTAAAGTTATTCTGTACTGGATGGAGAAAAAAATATATAATTCAAAAGGAAAACAGCCTTATATCAGTATTTTTCATTGTAAAAATATATGCTGTTTTATATGGTAAATGGTGATGATGCTTGAAATACTATCAGTAGGATACAGAGGTTCAAAATATATGAATCAAAACTAATTACAACTACAGACCACCATGACACAAAAATTACAATAGTGATATTTTGTATGCACTAACTTTAAAGGGAACCTAGAATTTAATTGTTATTTTCTTTTTTTAAAAATATATTTTATTGATTTTCCACAGAGAGGAAGGGAGAGAGATAGAGAATTAGAAACATCGATGAGAGAGAAACATCGATCAGCTGCCTCCTGCACATCTCCCAGGTACATGCCCTTGGCTGGAATCGAACCTGGGACCTCTCAGTCCGCAGGCCGACGCTCTATCCACTGAGCCAAACCGGTTTCAGCTTAATTGTTATTTTCATTTCAAATGCTCTTTCAAGAATTATATCATTTTAGATAATGTGACATGATGCTTATTATACTTGTTAATTTGTGTTTAATAAAAGTCCTTTCTGTAAAAATTTTGATAGATTATAGCTCAAGGCAAAAAGTAACCTAGATCGTGGTCGGCAAACCGCGGCTCGCAAGCCCTATGCGGCTCTTTGGCTCCTTTAGTGTGGCTCTTCCACAAAATACCACGTGGGGGCACGCACATACAGTGCGATTGAAACTTTGTGGCCCATGTGCAGAAGTTGGTATTTTGTGGAAGAGCCAGTATTTTGTGGAAGAGCCACACTGAAGGGGCCAAAGAGCCGCATGTGGCTTGTGAGACACGGTTTGCTGAGCCGCAGTTTGCCGACCACTGACCTAGATGTTTCTGTATAATTCAGAAGAGGAGGAACCAATTAACTGGAAAACTCTGTGATTATTTGAATTCTCTTATGCAATTTGATTATTAAATTAGAATAAGGAAAGTTGTGAAAGAAAATGAAACTAAAAGAGAGAAATAAGAATGGGAAGTAGTTAGTCACCATGAAGGAGGATGTGACAAACCCATTGGGTTGGTGCAATGGTTGCGTCTTTCCATTTACCACTCTAGAAGTGCATCTGAATTAACAGTGCTATTTCCCTGTCAGTTTGGCTGGTTATTGGCAGTAAAACTGACATTACTTGGACTTAATTAGAATTGGTTAAGGATTCTTGTCCCCATTTTTTTTTTAAGATAAAGTTGGAGAAGGGAGAACTAGAATCTGATTTCACGATTATTTCCTGAAATGACCAACAGAAAAGAAACTCCTCACCTCATCTTTTTTTCTTTTCTTTACTAGTGTGCCTTTACTCTTACAATGATATTTGTTTAGCATTTCAGTATTTATACTATAGATTAAGGGAGGAGAAGAGAGCAAAACATGTGCATGAAAGTGATTATTAAAATGCCTAAATTCCCAGGAGACACTGAGGGGAAATTTTGACTACAGCTGCTTCATTCCTATAATGGCTGATCAGGAAGCAAATCATGACCAAATTTATACAAATTTGATGGGCTGTTTGTTATTGTTGAAGCCCTGGGTTCAAGTTTTAATATTCAGATGTGGAGAAAAGGATGGAAACTGGTGTTCATGAGTAATTAATATTAGACTCCTAAGTGAAAAATTAGAAAAAATATATTATTTGTGTAACTCAGTCCAGGCGTTTTTATATGTTTTCTCACTTGACCTTCAATACTCCCACATGGTAGTTATCTTTATCCCCAAGACACATGGAGGTATATAACTTCAGTTCATTGATGATGATACTTATACTAGAATTAATTTCCATTGATTCTTTTCCATTTTCTATGTAGGATGCTGATTACTGTCTCAATTCCCAATTAATAAAGAAACATACTGATCACAGTGTAGCCACCAAATCAAAGTAATTTGATTTATGGTCCCAATTAAATGAGAAAGGATAAACACATAGGTCAATGCAATAGAATACAGAGTCCAGAAATAGAGTCACATATACATGGTCATTTGATTTCAACAAAGGTGCAAAGGTGATTCAATGGAGGAAGGGTAGTCTTTTCACAAAATGGGAGCAAAGAAACATTTGTAATTAAAAGTGACTCCTAGAAGTTACTGCAAAGATAACAGTTACCTCTAAGGGGGAAGATTAGAGAATGCAATTGGGAAAGGGGATACAGGAGCTTCAAAAATAGTGTTTAATTCTTCAGCTGGGTGATTGGGCACTGAGTATTTTTCTTTTTTTAAAATACATTTTTATTAATTTCAGAAAGAAAGGGAGAGGAAGAGAGAGATAGAAACATCAATGATGAGAGAGAATCATTGATCGGCTGCCTCCTGCCTGCCCCCTAGTGGGAGTCAGGCCCACATCCCGGGCATGTACCCTTGACTGGAATCAAACCCAGGACCCTTCAGTCCGCAGGCTGATGCTCTATCCACTGAGCCAAATCAGTTAGGGCAGATATTTTATTTTTAAGACATTTTCAAATATGTTTATTTAGTCTTTGCATCCTGAGAGACAGATATAATCATTTCTACTTTTTACATAGGAGGAAGCTGAGATTCAGGAAAATAAAACAAGTTACTAAAGGTCAAGAAGTGAACACTCTTGTCAGTAATAAACATCCATACTCTTTTTAAAAATATATATATTTTATTGATTTTTTACAGAGAGGAAGGGAGAAAGAAAGTTAGAAATATCGATGAGAGAGAAACATCGATCAGCTGCCTCCTGCACATCTCCTACTGGGGATGTGCCCACAACCCAGGTACATGCCCTTGACGGAATCGAACCTGGGACCTTTCAGTCCGCAGGCCGACGCTCTATCCACTGAGCCAAACTGGCCTCGGCCTTTTTTTAAAAAGAGCCTCTCTTTTTATTTTTTAAAATACATTTTGTTGATATTTTTACAGAGAGGAAGGGAGAGGATAGAGAGTTAGAAACATCGATGAGAGAGAAACATCGATCAGCTGCCTCCTGCACACCTCCTACTGGGGATGTGACCACAACCAAGGTACATGCCCTTGACCAGAATCGAACCTGGGACCTTTCAGTCTACAGGCCGATGCTCTATCCACTGAGCCAAACCGGTTAGGGCCATCCATACTCTTTCCACAAATTCTTTCCATATTTCTTGGAGTTCTAATTTAGCAGAAACTATTCCCACATCCCAATGGAGGAAAAGGATTCAGAAAGAGGTCTTTGAAATATGTTTAGCCAGTGTGGCTCAGTTGGTTGGGCATGGTCCCATACACCAAAAGGTTGCTGATTTGATTCCCAGAAAGGGCATATGCCCAGGTTGCTGGCTCAATCCTCAATAAGGGGGCATGTAGGAAGCGGCTGATAAACATTCCACTCTCACATTGATGTTTCTATTTCTGTCTCTTTCTCCTTTCCTTTCTCTCTACAAATCAATAAAAATATTTAAACACACACACACACACACACACAAATACAAGCCCAGCCAGTGTGCCTCAGTGGTTGAGCATTGACCTATGAACCACAAGGTCATAGTTTGATTCCCGGTCAGGGCACATGCCCCGGTTTTGGGCTCAATTCCTAGGGTGGGGTGTGCAGGAGGCAGCCAGTGATCAATAATTCTCATCATTGATATTTCTATCTCTTCTTCTCCCTCTTCCTTTCTCTCTGCAGGCAATAAAAATCTTTAAAAAACACACAAAAAAACTAAAAACTAAATATAGTGAGGAAAATATCCTGTTTTGGATACTTGATCATTAATTATTTTGGAGACGGACTTAGAAATGAAGAGAATTTTCCCTCTTTCACATTCAACCACAAATAGAAAGCCTTTTGCACTCTTAAGGATTAAGTGTCTGAGCTCATTATCCTGAATAAATGAAGGTCAATAAATATCTCCTGCATAAGAATTTGTCATACCTTTTAAAGATTTCAAGTGTTGAATGATCATCTTTAAAACTAAGTGTTCAGTTTTCGTGCCATGGCCTTGCACTGAGGGATCATGGCAGACAGGTTACTCATTTTATCTCTGCTCTGCTTTTCGGTTTATTTATGAGCTTCTCTGAAGGACTTCATTTTTACTTGTTCATCATCTTCCATTTGGGGTGGATCTGAATCACTTCCTTTTATTTTCTTGGAAACTGTCACATGCGGGCTGATATACAGAGCCAGTAGCTGTGGGTTTGTCCCTGGCTCATGATTAGAAACCATGGAAGCAATGCACTGGTTGTTTTCGATCAACACTGTACCTCTCACTGCAGCCTCCTCTTCCGCCGCCATCTCAAGAGCCATTGGTTGGCTGTGCAGCTCCAGGGCTGGCAGCATGGAGAGGCCCGGATCTGCCCACTGCCATCCCAGTTATTGACCCAGGAGTGAGGGTGGAGGTTGGGACTCTGCCTGGTGCCACAGCAGCCAGCATCTACCTACTTGACACCTGCGGGGGGCTACAGAGTATGCAGACTGGGGTTCACCTGCCGGTGGGTCTGACAAAGGGCAGATATTTTATATTCTGACTTTGTTTTTTACTTTTTCTGGTGTTGACATCAAGTTTTAACATGATTTTAAACCTATGTGTTTTAGTACTTTGTACAAGGACAGGCAGATAAGGAGATGTGAAGATTTTCAGTGAGACTGCCAAAATAATTTAATAATCAGATAGTAAGTGATAATGAAAGGAGAACCCTCATTGATTAAGGCCAGGCAGTTTGACTTCTGCACTCTTAAGAATTAAGAGGAAATAATTAGAGCTCGAGGAGTGGAGGGAGTAGAAACTTAGGTGGGAGGCCTGTCACAGAAGGGGAAGTAGGTTGGTGGGAGTGGAGGGAAGGGCAAGTATTTAAAATTGAATGAAAATAAGTAGTAATAATACATATTGCTGGCGCCTGAAGGAAAAACCCTCACTGGTTATATTTCTGTCAGACATGTTACAAGAAGTTTTCAAGGGAGAATAATGTTAGTGTTTTAGTTTGCTTTAAGAAATGGATAACTTCCAGTTTGACTTTGTCTTCTCATTGTCACCTCCTTTGCTAACATTATCACTTGTGGCTGAAATACAGGCTGTTGAGTTTAGCCAAATGGTTGGCTCTTAATTATGCCTGAGAATAGAATTCTCCCTGGCACCAGCAATTTAGGTTTGTCAAAATGTGTTAATAGTGTTAAATATTACACTTAAAGGATGTGCTCTTGTTTTACTGCAATATTTAATGCTGATGCTAACCATCAAGAGTTAGTACAGCCCTAGCTGGTTTGGCTCAGTGGGTGGAGTGTCAGCCTGTGGACTGAAGGGTCCCAGGTTCGATTCCGGTCAAGGGCACATGCCCAGGTTGTGGACTTGATCCCTGGTGGGGGACGTGCGGAGGGGCAGTCGGTTGGTGGTTCTCTCTATTGCTGAGGTTTCTATCTCTCTCTCCACTCCCTTCATCTCTGAAATCAATAAACATATATTAAAAAAAAAAAAGCTGAGAAGCCTGACACTAAGGAGAAGAAAGCCGAGAAGGCTGATGTGACCTGGAAAGTATTATGCTAAGTGAAAAAAGCCAATCAGTGAAAGACAAATACTAAAAGTGGAATCTAATGAACAAAATAAACTAATGAAGTGGAATCAGACTCATGGATACAGAGAACAGGCTGATAGCTGTCAGAGGGGCAGAGGTTGGGGGCTGGTGAGAAGGGTAAAGGGATTAAGCAAAGAAAAACAAAAAAAGAAGGACTCATGGACACAGACAACGATATGGTGATTGCCAGAGGAAGAGGGTAAAGGGAGGATAAATGGTGTTGGAAGGAGACTTGACTTGGGGTGGTAAACGCACAATACACTATGCGGATGATGTATTGTAGAATTGTATACCTGAAACCTGTATAATTTTATTAATCAATGTCACCCCAATAAATTTAAATTTTTAAAAAGGAAGGCTGATGCTGGTGGCTAGATTAAGAAAGATAATCTTAAGAGCAACATGCCTAAGGAGGGGAAGTCCCACTGCAGCTGAAACCCTGTCCTGGTCAGAGGAATTGGCAGGTATTCCTGATTGGCTATGTACTCCTGAAAGGCCATGTACGAGAGGAAGTATTCAGCAGCTAAATCCAGTACTGAAAGAAAAAAGGAAAAGGTTCTTGCTACTGTCATAGAACCAGAATGGTGGTATCTAAGTGGTAAAATTTTGGAAAATGTCTAGATATTATCTTACTGAAGCTGTTGAGCCATGGCAAGAAAGCCTTTAGTCAGCATGTGAGAAAACTGTGCTAGCATTACTTCTTTGACCCTTCTGATCATCCTCACTGGGCACCACAGAGGCAAGGGGGTGATTTTCCTGAAGCAGCTGAGCAGTGCTTGCTACTTGTGACTGGGCCTCTGTCCCTCAATCGAATTCCTCATTGCCACCTCCACCAAAATTGATACCAGTGGTGTGAAAATCCTTAAACATCTCACTGATACTTACTTCAAGAAGAACAAGCCAGTTCCTGCCCAGGTAGCTCAGTTGGTTAGAGTGTCATCCCGATACACCAAGATTGTGGGTTTGATCTCCAGTCAGGGCACATACAAGAATCAACCAATGGCCCGGCTGGTGTGGCTCAGTGGTTGAGTGTCAACCCAGGAACCAAGAGGTCGCTGGTTCAATTCCTGGTCAAGGCACATGCCTGACTTGTGGACTTGATCCCCAGGCATATATGTATAGGAGGCAGCCGATTGATGATTTCCTCTCTCATTGATGTTTCTTTCTCTCTATCCTTCTCCCTTCCTCTCTCTCTAAAAAAATAATAAATAAAAAAATATTAAAAAGAAAAGAATCAACCAACGAATGCATTGATAAATGAAACAACAAATCGATGTTTCGCTATCTCCCCCTTCCTCTCTCTAAAGTCAATAAATAAAAATTAAAAGAAGAAGCTGTGCATGTACAAGCCCAGACAGCAGGAGGGCGAGATCTCTGACACAGAAAGTAAAATACAAGATTACAGTGCGGTACAAGGTTGATCAGAAAGCTGCAGACTTGAAAATTCTGCCAAAAATCAAAGCTGTTCCTCAGTTCCAGGGCTCTACTGGGCTCTAAACTTTGCCTTTCTAGTTTTTCATACTCTGCTCTGTGTTACTCTTGCAAATGGGATTTATGCCTATAAACTGGTGTTCTAAATTTCTTATAAAGGACCTAATTAAATACCTGGTCTGTTAATTTTTTTAAAAAATACTCAGTTTTATGACATCTCAAAAAGGCTTATTTGACCTTTTTTGTAGTTAAGTAAAAATATGCCACCATTAGTTGTTTTCAAAATGATTTTCTATTCTTTAGTTGGTAACCATTATTTTTATACACATTTTATCTTATTCCTATTCTTTTAAATGGTCTACATAGGCTCTGTAGTTATAACTGGCCTACATCTAGATTAGACAAGCCAAAATTTATATCTAAAGTATTTTATCTTAAATTTTGTAATCTCTTCCAAGCACAAACTTAGGTAAACCTGAGGTAGAAAAAATGACATCAGAATAATTCCATTTATCATTGATAATTAAGGCCTTTTGTCTATATGGTTCAGAGAGCTACAAGAACATTATCTCATAATTCTCAAATGACTATGAAGTGAGCAGGCAAGTATGATTATCCTAATTTATAAATGTAGTTTGTGGTCTTTAAAAGGTTAGAGAGCTGCTTCACATAAATTAAAAGCAAAAGTAGAGATGAATTTTAAAAACTGGTTTTTAATCTTTGTAGATCAACTATAAGTCCACAATTGCTCTATTTAGAACTATAAGGATTATTATAATGTAGTTTGACATTTTTTCTAGTTCAAAGATAAAAACATGAAATGGTAATTTCAGTCTCTTCTGATTATTGCATTTTATGCTGAACTAAAAATTTCTGATGGGTGCTTAATAATTAATGATAATGGTCCCTCATAAAAAATATTTACAAGTTTACAGAGAACAGTGTACACTATTTTTATTATTTATCACCTAAATGTCCTTAGTGTGCATAACATTTTGTTCACCAGGCTCTAGCTGGTTTGGCTCAGTGGATAGAGTGTCGGCCATGTCTGAAGGGTCCTGGATTTGATTCCAGTCAAGGGCACGTACGTTGTTGCAGGCTTGATCACTGGTCCTGGTCAGGGCATGTG